CATTTTCGCAGCCATTTTAGGTTTAAAGTTCGAAATGTAGACAAAAAAGTAAGATAGTAATATGGCGTCATGGAGTTTCTCGGCCAACCAAGGGCGTGTATGAGTAGTTCCTTACTTAACAATTATACTAAACATTTAGAGAATGTAAATATTAATTGCTATTGTGCCATGCTATAATACTTGTGCAGAACAATGAAAAGTAAGCACTGCTATCTTTTTTTCAAGAAAATGCTCATCCCATATAGTTAATTCGACTCAAAATTTGCAGAAGTTCCAGTGGAAAGCCAAGTTTTAGAAAGTAATACATTCCAAATTATCTACAGGTACTTTCTGATTAAAAAGCAAAGGTTGATCTTTACAATATGGTAACTGGTAGTTTGGCGACATTTTGGAGGCGATAAAGGTTACTACCTGGGACTTTGGTAATAATGCGAGCAGTACTCAGTTCCGATTACGCATTATTTTGTGTGAGGGGAAATGAGAGATCATGAGATATGTCATGTGACATTAATGGACAAATAAATTACAGTTCTTTAATCGGAAAAGGGGGTAAATTTGGAACAAATATCTGCAGTACTATAGCTGCATTTTGTATTAAGCTTCATTGTGTGTTGTGTGAAGTAGTGTTGATTAATTTTTGGGATTGCATGGCGCTATCTAAAGTGAATTCAAAATTTTTAATGCGTTTGATCTGATAATTCAAAAGAATTGGTTGAATGGTATATGAGTGTAGGATTAATTGCGGATAAGTATGAATGTCCAAATGTGGGAATGAAATGAGATTGTGTGAAAGGAAGGATATTACTGATAAGTTTGAATGGCGGTGCAAGAAATCTGGTGAAAATGGACATTTTGTGAAACGGAGTGTAAGGAAGGGTACGTGGTTTGCTGAAAGTCGTTTGAGTATGGGTGAGATTTTATTGATTTCTTATTATTGGGTGAATAGATTGCCAGTTGACTATTGGATTTCGGATTTAGAAATTAGCAGTAGGACTGCAGCTGATTAAAGATTCTGAAACAGAAAGAAGAAAAGTGTATCGGACACGTAATCAAGATTCTGAAGAAGATTAGGTAAGTTAGTACAGTCAAAAGTCATTAATTCGGACACCCATAATCCGGAATGATCTATAATCCGGACCTCAAAGCTACAAACTTTCTGCGCATGCGTCGCGTTCACGCATGCGCACAGGCGTTTACGAGAACGCATAAGACCCTTACAGCTGCGAATATGTTTGTGCGCATGCGCGTTTATACGCTAAGCTAAAGTTATCTAATTCAGTTAATGTTGCAGATTGCGTTGTTCCTTAATCTTCGAATTGGATCCGGCTTATTATTTTTTTGCAGACTGTTAGAGCAATTTATAAAAGTAAGCTTGAACTTTCGATTATGTCAAATAGAATTTCCGATATATATTACTACAAAGCGAAAGTATGTTTTGAAATCCGAAATCTGTTTATCAATTTCACGCTGCTCTGCGGCAGAGGGGGGGGGGCCAGAAACGTCATTATTAGATTATGATAGATTAGAAAGATTATGTCAAATAGAATTTCCGATATATATTTACTAATATGTAATTTGTATCTACAAAGCGAAAGTATGTTTTGAAATCCGAAATCTGTTTATCAATTTCACGCTGCGGATTGGAAGTTGATCTGTCAGCACTATCCTTATCTTCAGAGCAGATGTTTTTATTTTATTTGGTTTATAATTCCGTACTAAGTGTAGTATTTCATTTCGATATACTCCGTCTTTGATATGATTTAAATCAAGTTCCTCGTCATTATAATTCGCTTCCAATAGTGAAGAAAGTGACCCAGAGGTTATTGAAAACGAAAACATTTCGATTGACAAATTAGTCGGTATTCTCAACACAGCAATTATAGGACTTGAACAGCGGAACTTGTAACTAAACAAGAAATTATGTCTGTTTAATAGAATTAAAGAGAAAGTATTATCACATGAACGAAGCAACTTGCATTGAAGGAAATGTTTAATAAAGTAAACAAATAAATATTAAGCTTTTTCTTTTTGTAAATTTTGATACCCTTTAGATCATAATTGTTCTTTATTTCACAAATTACGGTTTCATACTTTTAATTTTGTAATTTCTGCATGCCATCTTACCAGATTTAAACTGATGATCTATAATCCGGAAAAATCGATAATCCGGAATCGCCGAAGTCCCGACGAGTCCGGATTAACGACTTTTTACTATTTTTAATTATTTGAGGATATTATTTTTATGCATTGTTCTAAATGTAAGGTGGAAGTAAAGAAATTTGGTATTATTGGGAAAATTGTTATTAGCAATGATTTAGTTTAAAGTTACTAGGATTGTAAGGTAATTTTTATTAATTTAATGTATATGCTCATTTATATTTTAAGTAGTGTTTTTGAATTTAATTATATTTTAATTAAATGATAGTTATTTTGTGAATTTTATGTTTGTAGGAATTTGGTATACGTTTTAGTTGAAGTAAACGTGCATGGAAATAATTTAAATATTGACACTAAGTATTTGTAATAGTTTGCGGTATGAATTCGTTGGTGACGTTTATAATATAATAGATGATTTAGAGGTAAAAGTTTTTGGATATTTTATTTATTTTATATGTGGAAATGTTCATATTTGGAAAGGGTAAATACTTTTTCGCGATCAGCTAATTTCATATATGTTCTTTTTACCGGGTTTAAAGATTGAGAAAATTGTCATGTATTTTCGTGAAATTTTTCTAATTTATGAGAAAAAAGTAGTGTACATGGATATAGTGAAGAGTGTGCGCAATGCCATTTTTGTGCAATTCTGGGATGTTTTTTTAAGTAAAAATAAGTCGGCGTGTATATGGTTTATGTGTATGTGTTATTTTGAAAAACGCGTAAGGAGGATGGTATTGTGCACTTTTTCCCAATTTTGCAGTGAATATTTGTCATGATTAAGCAGTTTTGTTTGATAAAATTTCTAGCATAAGTGTAATTCGGCTAGTAGATTGTTGGAAGAAGTGTTCAGTAGATAAAAAGAAAAGAAACATGTCTTTGCTGGCGGCGGGGAAAAAAAAATAGAGGGTTGCTGTAGGAGAGTTGTTCGCCAAATTTTCGCCAAAAAATAGCCAAGTTACCATAGTGTAAAGATCAACCAAAGCAACTCTGATTAAAAATCCAGTTTTAACCACGTGCAGTGCTGATAAGGACCATGTGTTTCTAAGACTCCTTCTCCTTTATTTTCTTCTTTCTAGGTATTTCTTTCTCCTGATGAGGAGGGACCTTTAGCTGCCCTCGAAATTGATTGAGTGTTTCATTATACCTACGCTAAATACAAGGTTGTTTTACGATTTTGACTGTCACATTAGCGTGTTTCTCTTCTAGTCTACTTTCTGATTATCCACACTCCTGCTGAAAAGTCAAGAAAACGTGTTCATGAGTCTACCCAGTGCAGTGTGTTACCCAAATAGTTATGTGACAGTTCATGATGTCAAGAAAGTTATTTATGTGGCAACCCAGGTATATGCATAGCATATGTCTGTATAGGCAGGTATGCAATGCCAAGTTTGCACAATTCTCCCTTTTTTTTTTAAAGTGAAAACAGATCGCTATGTACATGGGAAGAAAAACAGAGAAAAGAAGAAGTATTCTCAAAAAGATAGATATTTTATTACTGATGTTCCTCGCTTTTTTAATTTTATTGATTGATTACTCTTGAAAGTAATTCTTAATATGGCACTACTGTGAAAATTGCTGTTGCCCTTCAAGCATTAGCTTAACAAAAAATTAATCGACAACGAATTCATGACTTTTCAGTAGGGATGTTGGATAATCAGAAAACATCCATACACCTTATAATTTTCACTCAATCAATGAACTGGAAAACAGTTGAATCATAGATTAGTACAAAATTTTAGCATATAAGCTGCAATCGCCTAATTCTGAAACGCAAACAAAAGTACTGCTTTCGCAAACTTAGTAAGCTTTCCCAGGTTAGAAAGCAGTGCTTTGAATTTCCTAGTGAACCAGTTTAATTTCACATACTACATAAATATCTCGCTTAATCATTTCTCTAACATTAAGAAAATTCAAAGAAGTCAAGAAAAATTAACTCACCCAGATGTATTACGACTATAATTTGAAACGTGCAATTTAATTATATGAAATAAAAAGGATTTTTCTACTCGAATTTCAGGAACCACACATTCTGAGAGATGACATATTCCATCTCTCAGATATTGGTTTAAATGTTTGAAAATCTTAAAATACCAAATTATCATCTATTCCTAAATTTTCACAAAATAATTATGCAAAATTCTCGATAATTTTTAATTTTTTATTTTCACAATAAACTGCAGAATTTTTAGTCAGTATATCACTCCCCCTTGTAAAAAAAGGGGGAAAAAAAAGACTACTATGCAAATGTAAAAAAAAGTGTGAAAACATAATATTGAGATATATCATTTAACTTATAATAAATGTATGTAAATTAAGCAAAATAAATTTTCCTCATTATTATTATTATAATACTACATTTGGTCCCTGATTGAATTTCAACTCTATACATGAAAAATTTATTTCTCCTACATTTAATATTGCTTATACTTTCCCCATCGAATTAACTCATCTTCCCTACTTTTAATATTAATTTGTGAAATAACTATGTTGCAATATATATATTTTTACAACTGCTTGGAAATGAAAAAGCTACGCTTTTAATATAAACGTGATTTTATAAATAAAATCATAATTAATGTAAGATCTAAATACAACCGATATTTTAATGTTTCAAACATTAAATATACACAGTTTACTATTCTCACAGAACTCGCCGATATGTTAAAGTACTGTTCAAAAAAATGATTATAATAAAAAAAACTGGTAAGTGCATTTCCAGATATATATGATATAATGCATGACACACGAAAAATGAGATGATAATATTCCTTATGAAACAAATTTTAGCTCATTGTTTTCTACAATAAAATCAGAAATACATTTTACTGCTCTAATCAACTTACCTAAAACTTCAGCCGGTAATAGAATTATTTTTAAATGTTTTAGGAATATGCACTTGCTACGTATGAGTTTTGTTTTTTTTACTCGCAGGTTTCGCTGAACATGACTGTGTCTTGACAATAACATATGTAATGAATTATTGAAGGTCAATCATGCAAAATACATAACATGGACTTCTTTTCAGGCTTAGTATCGCAATCATCAAATTTAGGAAATTTTTAATTAGGCCATAAAAAGTTTAGGTTACAAGTTTCTTGTCACGTACTAAACATCATATTTAAAATTTATTTAACGTTATTTTCAAAGAAGCTATGAAAGTGAGTATCACAGCAACGCATGTTTTCATTTGACTACTACATTCATCATTGCACTCCACAGTCGAATAAATATTATGTAGTTCTTCAAGAATGTGGCGCTGCATTGCCGTGCCGACAGATTATAAAAGCCAGCGTCCAAAGCGGTGCCTATTCACTATCTAAATTTATAATGTGTGCCTCAGTGATATTGCTGCAGTTGAATAAAACATTGAACCTCCCGTTTTCGCAAATTATTTTCACAGCTATTCATTCTCTATATCTGAATTAATAATTCTGAAAACAAATTAGATATATTTTTTGTCTGTGTAAAATGTGATAAGGTATAATAGACTAAGTTGAGCTACACTATTTTCTATGCTGTTATTCTTATGTTTTGATAGAGTAATTTTTAAGTATATGTAAATATTTTTTTATTTACAGTTATGGTGTAAACCATACTGACATTTGGAAACCATACTGGCATAAAAGGAACAGATAACAGAAAACGCCGCCCGAAAGAACCAGAAAAGGCACAAAATGCAGAAAGAACACAAGATACTAGAGGGAAAATTTTGTTACGTCTAAAGTAAGAAGTGAATAGGAATTTCGGACATAGTAAATAATGTTACAACAGATGCTCAAAATTCGCGCCATTAGTATGCCTCCCGCTAACATCGCACTGACTGCCAGACACGGTCCAATAATTTCAGAGTTTCAAAAATACTAACAGATGTGTTGGAGATTCTGGCTACGAAATTCATGTCAGAGATAGGGGCTTGTTTCTCACGTCATTGATTTAAGGGGGTTCGCGCCCTTAAATCATTGACCTTAAAATGATCAAGAATATGGGTATCCTTATGCTTCTAAAACTAGTCTCTATTATAAATGTCATGTTACACCTGGGACACTTCCCAACGCCCTGGAAAACGGCTGTGATTACTCCGGTACCAAAACCTGATAAGCCACCGTCGGATCCTGCGTCGTACAGGCCTATCAGTCTGTTGTCCTCGCTAAGCAAGGTTGCAGAGTATATCACTGAACGACATAATATCATTATCCCGGAGCAATATGAATTCCGAAAAAGGCACTCAACGGTGCACCAGCTTTACCGGGTAATAGGATTAATCTCACAAGCACTTCAAGAACGTCAGTTTACAGGAGCCGTCTTCCTCGATATAGCTAAAGCCTTCGACGGTGTTTGGCTCGAGGGCCTCATGCACAAATTAATCATTCGGGATTTTCCAGATTACATCATAGACATCACCCACTCCTACTTAAAGGATAGACACTTTATCGTTCGTGTAAACAAAGAATACGCTACCTCACGGGCTAACAAGGCAGGTGTCTCGCAAGGTAGTCTTCTTGGGCCCATTTACTATAATATATACACCGACGATATCTCACAATCACCACACACCACCCTGGCTATGCATGCCGATGACACGGCAATTCTCTCAAAAAATGCATCTCTCTGCCCAGTTATACAATCACTCCAAGATCACATACATGCACTAGAGTCCTGGCTGACTGCATGGAAGGTCAAAATAAATATTGAAAAGTCTGATGCAGTACTCACCAGGAGAAGAAACTATGACGAAATCTTACGTGGACTGAGTTTTTCATCACATTTCATCACTTTTTTCCCATTTTTCATCACGTGGACTAGGACAGAGCAGGCCCGATATCTTGATGTTATATTAGATAGGCTTCTCACGTGGTCCCCCCCCCATAACCCAGCTTCTTGCTAAGTTCCGTATACGTAAACTAACAATAACCCCCTTAATTGAACGGAACTCTGTTTTATCTACTGACAATAAAATATTCATTTATAAGATCCTTTTGCGACCCATCCTCACCTACGCCTGCCCAGAGGCAGGCGTAGGTGAGGATGTAAAACAAGTAAAAAAACCCATATAAAACATGTTACCCATGTAAAATAAGTATTAAAATGTTGCAAGTTGCTCAAAATATTGTACTTCGGCATGTGGGGAATGGCCGGTGGTTGATCAGGAACTCGGCAATTTACCGTGAGCTCGAAATTCCTGAGATATAGCTTTATATTGTTGAACTTGCTGAGAAATTCTTTGCAAACATTCCAGATGTTAGGAACAGAACAATTCGAGTTCTGAGCTATGATTATTATGGTGAAATAAATAGAAAACGACCGCTTGCAGTCTTAAGGCATCTTACTGTGTAAATCACTGTACCTTGACACCCTTATTTAATGTCTTAATTATTGTTACCCCACTCTGTGTCTTTTTTGCATTTTTGCTTTCTTTGTACTTCGCTGTAAATAACTGTACATATTTGTATTATTTGTATCATCTTATATATCTACTGCTTATTGTGATTGATTGTATTGGAGTGTTCTGCGTAAAGGCATTTCTTTATACCTTCGATCTACTGTCATATAATTATGCTCGCACTTACCTTCAACTTCGACCTGCAGAGCAGGTGGGCTCTGGGTTGTTTCTTCTTTCTCTTTCGCCTCGCAGAAGAGTCGCCTTACCTCCACTGCTGCATCCTTTTTCGCTGGATAAAACAGGTCGTATTTTATTCTTTCTTCTGATTGTCTTTATTCACAGTGCTGATAAGGGTACCTTCGGGTACGGCTTCTAGGCCTTTTTCCCAACCTTTTTTGCCTCACATGATTAATCAATATGACACAACAAACACAAATTTAACTAATAATAACACAAACATGGAAAATCCTCACGCGAGACATCTCAATGATGAACCCAACGTTCTCCGAATATTAAGTCACAAAATTACTTTATCTAATGACGTTGAAACTACCAGATCCTTGGTGGAAGATATCCAAGATATCCGTAATGACCCAAATGTGATTATGTCAGCTAGTGATAAAAAAGGAACTAAACTTTCTCCTTGTAAAAGCAATTAATCAACTGCTTGTGCAGGAAAACGAGATGGCCAATGCAAAAATAAACGAATTACAAGCCTCTAACGATAAACTCGCTAAACAGTTTGAAGAGATTAAAAACTTCAGCAACGTACTTCAATCCACCAGTGGTTTCAAAGAACAGAGAAAAAGAAATAGACAGATGTATTCTGACTCCGATGAGGAGCCTTCCCTCAAAACCAGCAATCAATATAAACAACTAGAGAACCAAATAGACGACATGCATTTGGAAAACGAAGATGAATCAGCCACTCAGCTCACTACCACCGCAAAAGACCAACCAAACAAGAGTGACACCATTCCCGCAAATAAAAACCAAACTCCAACCCAAAAACGAACAGAATTGATAAAGTGCCCGTTATTGTCGTAGATGACGTCCCAAAAGCGGATGAATTCTTAAAAAACTTAAACAAGCAAACCGGAAAAAAGATAACTGTGTTTCCTTCGGACTCGTTTTTGTACCCCGCATAAAAGACTCTGTTATCCTGTGAACTGTTCCCGTTAATTCACTTACACTTGTTCGTATCTCTCATGTGTTCGAAAATCGGCATTTTATTACACCAGGATAGCGATAACACGCGGGAACCCTTTTGCGAACGACTCGAGTTTGCCTGAGCCGAGGTAGGGGCTTGTTTCTCCCGTCATTGATTTAAGGGCTTCGTGCAGAGAATGCGATTTCACGCTACTGGTCCGTTACGCGAATCCACAGAGAGTCAGAAAAACCTGTTCATAACCGAGCGGACTGCACATATGATACAGATAGAAAGTACAGACCATAATGAGTTCAATTAAACTAAAACATTTTTCTATGACTTTATTTTTCTTTGCTTGGTGTCATTTGCTCTTGGATTACATTTTGTAATGCAGATTATTAATGTGCTCTTGAAGTTTGGTATCAACCTTTTACTAGTAAAATTTCCTGCAATTTTCTATATCTATCTATTTCTATATTTTCTATATTCTATCTATCGGCTCGACAGCTTGCCCTTTCATGTTACGGAGGATTTGAAATGTATTGCTAAGTGGTTATATCTTCGTAAATTGATGCCTCTTAACATGTTTTTAGCATCACTTATTGCTGACACCATCGGATAAGTTACTTTTCGATAAGGTTGGACGTTCGAATCCAAGTACCCCGGTGATGTACCGCTATTATCCACATAGATACTCGTGAAACAGTGCTATAATGGGATGGAGCCCGTTATGTTGAAAGCATATCTGTCTATAAGTGCTTTTACGGATATGGACAGTAAGTCTGGCAGAATTTTTAAAAAAAAGATTCGATATTTCTGACAGTCCATTCGAAATGGTAACAGATGTGGCTCAACTAAACAGTCACCTACTATCTCTGTCCAGCCATTAATTGCAAACTAGTGATGCGCTACGTGGGATCGCACAACGTGAGAATTTTCAAAAGTCCACGCATATGCATTATGCTGATTGAGGATTCCTTCCTTAGTGAATGAAGCTTGATACTGAGTAAGATGCAAGCTAGTGCAATCTGGTCTAAACCACTTTATGCAGAATTCACTGCTCAAATGTCAAATGTTGAAGACAAGATCCCTACTCTGGATACCAGACCAACTGGTCGTTTTATGCCACTTATTCTATGAAGAGCGAGTCACCTGTCGTTGTTTCATCCGTTTGAGAAATCAGCATATCGGAAATCATTTTGGCAGCTAACTAACTGCCTTTAAGTTTTCGGCAGTAGATTTAGAGCTAAATTTAAGACGGAGCCGATAAAGGATACTTTTTGGAAGTACATTTAATAGTTAATGTGAATATATCCCGAATCAACATCAGATCAATACATTCAAAAATTAAAAAATTAAGAACTACATATTTAATATTCTGTAATGTAGTTGTCGAATCCGCTACCCAAAGCACCTGATGTAATCCAGGGTTGAATTAAACCTCTAACGCAAGTTCTAACAATACCATGAGTTTGAATAAAACATTTAACAATTTCGGTTCATGTCGATGTGGGAATTGGATACATTTAGTAATTTCAAAAACTTATTAAACTTGAATATGCGAGGTCAACAGCATACACAAGGAGTCATAGTTCTAGCGGGCCAAAATGTCCATCGCTCCAAGAGGAAGGTCCTGGCTCTTCTCAGAAAAACACCCTTTTTTCGCCCTGCCAAAACTTTTCTCCTTCACGGTGTCGTTACTTCTCCTGAACATCGGGGGGAGGGGGAGAATTACTCCACTCAGAAAG